ACAAATGATAGAAGACAAAGCATGTTGCTTCCCTATACAAAGGGGACCATCAGTGTTAAAACTTAAGCATAATTGACATCTTTCTTCAGATTTTAATTTCTCTACTGGTGGCACATGTTAGCCCGAGCAGTAGATCCTCCCTTCCTGACATACAGAATTAGTTGTTTTAATTCTGTAGAATCTTCCTAGGCTTTGAGCTGAATACTTCCTGAAGAGCTATTGTGCTTGCTAAGCATAGATACTCGAGCTGTTTAAGTATGCTAGAAACACTGGAAATGCAAACAGTTTGTAGACTGTACCGTCTTCTACAGGTAAATCTTGGGATTTTCTTGGTACAGTTCTAAGCAAATTTTCTGGTGGAAAAAATTACCCAACAAATTTTCAGAAAAAATATGTGGGTTTCTTGGATTCATGCTTCCAAAATTATGAGGATCTATTTTACAGTGTAAGTGCCTATAAAGCAGTCATACAACTGGTAATTAGTTGTGACAGTTTTATTTCGTGGTATGCCAGATACTTTGTGGTCCATGGTGCAAACAACCTCGACCTTGCCCAGAGCATATCTAATTTCAGTAGCTGAACTGGCTCTCTTTGCTTTTGTAGACACAAAATTAGTCAGAAATACCAGTGTTGTATGTGTCTTGGTCTTAACAGCTGGCAGTCTTCTCCGAATTGTGTGCAGCCTCTGTTGATAAGTACAATGCTGTCAGTAGTATTTCCAGCTGTGGCTGAAAAGCTGTTCTTATGGTAGCCTAATATTCTTTCAAAAATTTCATGAAGGGTATGCCACCCCAGTGACCAGTAACTGACATGTATATAAATGGGACTGAAGTTTATATTGTGTATGTAACAGTTTACAATTTGCTGTAAAACACCAGGTTAAAAAGATCAAGACTGAAATGTATAACTGAGTAGCCATGAATGGAAAGTTTTACTCCCATTTGAGTCAATATGTTAATAGGCCAGTAAAGAATGAGAACTTTCTGCTGAACTAAAGCACCTTAAAGATATGAGATAGCCCAAGTTTAATGAGAAAAAAACTGGGGGAGAGGCTCAGTTTCTTCAATAACTCAAGTTTCTGGAGACAGAAGTGGTATGTGGAGAAAAAGCTTGAAGATTCAGAGAAAAAAGATTGAAAGATACCTTTACAAATTTTACAGTATTAAAGCTATCCTGTTACATCTGTTATTGTTTGTTAGGGCTTTGTGACTTCTTGTCTTTAGTAGTGTAATTTGAGACATAGCATGAACATGAATAAGTAGTTCCTGATGAAGTCTGAACGTATTAGTTCAGTGCACTGATAGGATAATGGAGTATATACACTCAGATACTATGAATGGGCCTGAGAATGAGAAGTCCATGAGTCAGAAGAGGCAGAAAGCATTTTTATTTTTCTTGTTGATCAGTAAGAGACAGGAAAGGATTCTTAATATATAAGCCAAAGGAAAGACCCAGGTCTCAAAAGATCCAGTGTGGCTGGACTGCTTCATGGTTTTAGAATAGACTGCTGTTTGCTACTAACTTAGTGTCTCGTGGTACTACTGATGATGTTGTTCTGAGTTGTTAACTGCTACCCCCCTGCAGAATAGACCCAGATCTCTCTGGAGTGCTGTCCTCTGAGATTTTTGCATGATTTTTCTCTGTCCACAGTAGCTCATCTATTTCTAGTGGCTTGCACTCTGTTTAGCTTGCACCTTGAAACATTATTTTAAGACACAGTAAAATAAGATGATGTGGTGGCTTAACCAGAGCTAAACACCACACAGCAGTTGCTTCCCCCTGGTGGAAGGGTGAAGAAAATCAGAAGAGTAAAAGTGAGAAAACTAGTGGGTTAGGATAAAGGCAGTTTAATAGGTAAAGCAAAAGCCAGTCATACAAGCAAAGCAAAACAAGGAATTCATTCACTCCTTCCCAGTGACAGGCAGCTGTTCAGCTGTCTCCAGGAAAGCAGGGCTCCATCACACCTAACGGTTACTTGGGAAGACAAAATGCCCCCCCTTCCTTATATTTTCCCCAGCTTTATATGCTGAGCATGATGTAATATGGTATGGAATATGTCTTTAGTCAGCTGGGGTCAGATGTCCCAGCTGTGTCCCCTCCCAACTTTTTGTGCATCCCCAGCCTACTCACTGGTGAGGTGGGATGAGAAGCAGAAAAGGCCTTAACTCTGTAAGTACTGCTCAGCAATAACAAAAACATCCCTGTGTTACCAAAACTGTTTTCAGCACATATCCAAAACATAGCCCCATGCTAGCTACTATGAAGAATCTTAACTCTATCCTACCCAAAACCAGCACAGAAGTTCTTAAAGATATTGTCAGGATGGATGGATAAGCTTAAGATTTTACTAAGAGATACAAATGACGTTCTTAAATCATGAAATCTTTTGAATGTGATTTCCTGCTTTCTTCCATTGGAAGAGTATGAGCCAAAAGGCTTATGCTTTTGGAATAAGCCTTTTGGATGCTATGACAGTACGCTTTGCACAGTATACAATATGTTTTTATAATGATCTGGATGCAGGAATCAAATGTATGTTAAGTAAGTTCACCGACGACATTAGACTAGGAAGAGCTGTGGATTCCCTCAAGGGCAGAGAGGCCTTCCAGAGAGATCTGGGTAGACTAGAGAGCTGGACAATCACCAACTGTATGAAATATAAAAAGAGCAAGTGCTGGATTCTCACCTGGGACAGGCAATCCTGGTTATATGTACAAACTGGGGGATGAGAGGCTGGAGAGCTCTGCAGAAAGAGGTCTGGAGGTTGGGTTAACGGTGAGTTAAATATGAGTCAACAGTGTGCCCTTGGTAGCCAAAACAGCCAACCATGTCCTGGGGTGCATCAAGCACAGCATAGCTAGCTGGTCAAAGGGAAGGGATTGTCCCACTCTACACTACACTGGTGTGGCCCCACCTTAAGTACTATGTTCAAGTTCGGGTGCCTCAATATAAGAAACTATTAGAACGTGTCCAGAGGAGGGCAGCCAAGATGGTGAAAGGTCTCAAGGGCAAGACTTAGCAGGAGCGGCTGAGGTCACTTAGTTTGTTCAGCTTGGAGAAGAGAAGGCTGAGGAGTGATATCATCGCAGTCTACAGCTTCCTCAAGAAGGGCAGCAGAGGGGGAGGTGCTGATCTCCTCTCTCTGGTGACCAGTGATAGGACACAGGGAGATGGTATGAAGCTGTGTCAGGGGAAGTTCAGACTGGACATTAGGAAAAGGTTCTTCACTGAAAGGGTGGTGGGTTACTGGAACAGGCTCCGCAGGGACACAGCATCAAGCCTATGAGAGTTCAAGGAGTGTCTGGATGATGCTCTTAATCATATGGTTTATTTTCAGGTAGTCCTGCGAGGACCATGGAGCTGGATTTGATGATCCTTGTGGGTGCCGTCCAACTTGAGATATTCTATGATACTATGTATGGCAAGGACATAGTCTGAGGTCAAAAACAAAAGTTATGCCAAAGATCTTTTTGAACTGTTATTCCAAAAGGGCACTTTGTTTATTCCTCTTCTTCCCTAAGCCTCATTCTGTGGAATAGAAATAAAGATGCATTTATTACAGCTTTGGAAAACCTAATCCATAAAGATGGAGGATGAAACAATACATGGTCTTACCCAAACTTTTCATTGTTCATGTTTTAAAGAAAAGTCAGTGTCAGTTCAACAGCTATCCAGCTGGATTTGTATGAAGAATTACTCATTTCTAATGAACAAACTCTATTCCTTCCACAGGTTTTTCTTAAAAAAAAAAAAAAAAAAATCACAGAAGAGCTTATAAGTAAGGTGAATGGTATTTATGAGGAATCTTTATGAAACTCATGGGTTTAGGTTTTTTACACCAGCACAGACTTCTGCAAGAGATTACTTCATTCAAAAGCCTATATGCCACAAATGTTTTGAAACCTGGAGATTCCGCAGGGGAAGTGCAGTTTGTTCACGCTGATTTTACTCTCTTGAACCTACTTTCTCTGTCCAAGAAAAGATGAATGGCTAGGTGGATTTCTGTTCAGACCAAATACAGCTGTTCTTATTCTTGCTCCGATAACATCCAAATATCCCTCATCTTTCTAAACACAAAACATAATTTTGTGAAGCTGATCAAAGCAGGAACAAATATACCCACATTGTTGTGTTTCTGAAAGTTAGTCTTGCACTTCCAAGGTTGAAGATTGCACAGGTAAGTTGGTAGCTCTAGTTCAAAGCTTAACTATCCTTTCTAATAGATTGGATTTTAATTTTGTTTTTCCTGATGTGTAATCTAAATCTCCTTTTTAGTAATTTTAAGCCTATTACACAAACTATAGTGAATGGTAGAAAGAGCTTTGTTCTATTGCAGATCTGCCGTGTAGTTCAAGATCATTATATTCCCCCTCAGTTTTGTCTAAAAGCACCCTCAATTTCTTTCCACCTTTCTTACTGTGTAGGTATGTAATACCTTTCATTCAAGACATGAACCGGCTGCTTCACACACTCTGTGAACTGCAGTTTCAAAAGAGGAGACAGTGGATGCTGTTTATGAGATGGTAGCAATGGAAAGTATGTGTGCAACATCAGTGTACATAGCCTGCAAAAGATCACTGGTGGTTTTTTTATTTATTGAAAGAATTAACAGGTAATAAGCTGTCTACATGCTAACCTGTGTGGTTGCTAGCATAATGTAAAAGGCTTTCAATCTACGCCAGTGATGTTGCAGTGAAAGTTTTTAGATAAGGTATGCTTAAGCATGCTAAATGATACATAATCTTAAGATTAATACATGCATGTTATATCTGTGTATATTGCAATGCTGGACTGTGCAAAGAAACCAAACCAGGAATAAGCCACATTAAATACTGGAAGGAACTTACCTGCATCAGCTCAGTACTCTATCTTGCCTATTTAACATGTCTGTTTCTTATCCAAGTCAGCTTATTTGCTTGGATCAGGTATTTGTGAAGTGCTGTTTCATACCATGTCGATTTAGTTCTCAGACAGCAGTAGTT